GAAATACAAATGACACACACACACAAAAAAAAAAGTTCAACAGCCTTAGTCATCATGGAAATGAAAATCAAAGTATTTTGAAATTTCATCTTATACCAGTCCAAATGGTCAAGATCATTTAAACAAATGTCAGCTCATGTTGGTGAAGATGTGGGAAAAGTCACTGCTGGTGGGAGTGCAAACTTGTACATCTCCTACAGAAACCAGCATGGAGGGACCTCCGGATCCAGCTGTACCACTCCTGGACATACTTGCCAAGGATTCTTCATCCTAGTACAGAGACATTCAATCAACCATATTCGTTGAGGCTCTATTTGTAATAGTCAGAAATTAGAAACAGCCTAGATGTCCATCACCAGATGGATGAGTAAAGAAACTGTGGTTCATTTGCACAATGGAATATTAGTCAGCCATTAAAAAGGAAAAAGAATGAAACTCACAGATAAATGGATGGAGCTAGGAAAAAACTCATCCTAAGTAAGATAACCCAGACACAGAAAGGCAAATAGGGTATATATTCACTAATGGTAAGTCTTTAATAAGCAAGCTAAAATTCATATAACCACAGAGGTTAGGTATAAAGTAAGGGACTAGTGGGGAGAAATGGATCTCCATAGGAAGGGGAAATAAGATGGATGAAGAGGGAGAGGATCAAATAGGGAAGGGGAGGGAGGGACGCAGGGGTGACAGAGGAAGTTTGAGGAAGAGCGACTAAGGGCTATTTGAGAAGCCACATGAAGAGTTGACGCAGTAGAACCTTCCTAAGAATGTATGAAGCAATCTGAATGAAACTGCCAAATAACAGGGGAGACAGAACCCCAACAGGATATCTCTCATAACCAAGTGAAGTTTCCAATGCTGGGAATGATTACTTCTAATCAAGTTGTTGGCCAAAGAGGCTTCATGGGAACCCCCAAGCAACCCAGGTTATTGCTAAGGTTATTGGTTGCCCTTTACAAACTAAGAGTAAGGCCCTGTGTTTATGTCAACTTGACATAAACTGAAGTCATCTGAGAGGAGGTTAGTTTCAGTTGAGAAAATGACTGTGTTCTAGACAAGCCTGTAAGACATTTTCTTAATTGGTGTGTTGAAATAAGAGCAGCGGGGCCCGAAATAACAACACACAAACTGTATTCATTTAAACACCGCTTGGCCCATGAACTCTAGCCCTTACAGGCTAATTCTCACACCTGGACTAGCCCATCTCTAATGATGTGTGTAAGCACCCCAAGGTGTGCTTACCGGTAAGATTCTAGCCTCCATCCATCCTGGGTCAGAGCTGCCTGGGAGAGCGGAGCCTGGTGTCTCTGCTCCAGAGAGCAGAGCTGTCAGGTCTACCCGGGAGAGCTGAGCATGGCGTCTCTGTCTGAGGCGTCTGGCTCTGAAAAGAACTGCATTACTTCTGACCTCACTTCCTCTTCCTCCTGTTTACTCCTCCCACCTATGCTTTAACCTATCAGGGCCAGCCAAGCAGTTTCTTTATTGCTCAATGACCTTCCTCCATCATTGGTGATACATGGAGGAGGACCCAGCCCATTGTGTGTGATGCCATCCCTGGGGTGGTGGTGATCCTGGGTTCAGTAAGAAAGGAGGCTAAGCAAGTCAAGAGGAACAATCCAGTAAGCAGCACCCTTCCATGGCCTCTACATCTGCTCCTACCTCCAGGTTCCTGTCCTGTTTGAATTTCTGTCCTGAGTTCTTTTGGTGATAAACAGTGATGCAGGAGTGTAAGCAAATAAACCCCTTTCTCCCCAAGATGTTTTGGTCCTGGTGTTTCCATACAGCAATAGTAACTCTAATTAAGACAGGCCCTATTGCTGAAGGCAACACCTACACAAATCATTGAGCACGGAAAAGTCAAGCCAGTGCCTACCTAAAGCTTTCAATCCTACAGACTAGTGTTCATGGTGTTGGAAGGTACTCTGCATGCTACCAAGGGAGAAAGGAAAAACACCAACCAGGCTATAAACTCTTCGATCTACAAGGATAACCTGCCAGCATGATATACTTGTGAAATTGCAGCACAAGGCTTGTAAGAGGAACCAACCAATATCAAACTGGATTTAAGGTTCATTTTACGAGCTGAAACTCATCCCCTACACTGCCCAAGTGGCCAAGAACTAACTTGAGATCAAATAGGCCAGAGACATAGGGAAAAACCAAACTCTAGTGTCCTGCTAAAGTAATGAAGAAATACATTGACAAAGTTCTGCTTGTCCAGTGTCTTGCTCAGCCCTGATCAGAGAAGCTTCCTCCTTCAGGAGACGGGAACAAATACAGAGCAGAGACCCACAGTCAGACACTGCGCAAAGAAACCTTGGAACCTTCAGTCCTAAATAGGATGTCTCCATCAAATCTGTCCCCTTGGAGCTCAGTGAACCATACAAAAGAGGAGGCAGAGAAAGTGTAAGAAACATGGCGGATGGAGGATAACTAGGCAGCAAGGTCTTCTAACTCCAGTAGGACCGATACACGGATGGGCTCACAGCGACTGACGCAGCATGCACAGGGCCCTCCCGGGTCTGCACCGGCTGGGATCCCAGAACTGAGAGGAGAACTGGACACAAGCCCTTAGCCCTAACTCAGAACCTGTCTCCAGCTGATAACCACTCGCAAATGAACAATTGGTTTTCTCTGACAGTTCCAGTAAGGATACAAACCATTTTTAAGGGCAGGCCCCGTGCCTAACACAAAATGAGCTCAATGGCATCTTTGGAGCTTCCTTGTTTGAAAATGTTTCGTCAAGGCAGCTTTTTTTTTTTTACCTCCCAGAGCTTTTGATTAGATATTATGGCTTTTGATTTTGTATATCTATGGGATTCCTGTGTGTACAAATGTGTGTCTCTGCATCTATGTGTGTTTCTTGTGCTTTTTCCTTGGCTCTTTTTCTTCTCTTCTGCTTGTTTGGTCCTATAATGGTTTATCAGTTTTTGTTTTTTAATTTCATCATTATCCTTTAGAAGTTTATTTTCTAAGGAGAGACAGAAAAGGTGGGGATCTGGGTGGGGGAGGAAAAGCATAATCAGAGTATGTTGTGTGAAAAAAATCTATTTTCAATAAAAGAAAAATGGGGGGTAACCAAGACAACCACAAAGAACATTTTTAATGAGATAGTATTCCAGCTCAGCTCATAATGAAAGAAAGCATTAATTAACAGATTAATGAAATTGTATTGGTATTTGCTATCTAATCAACGTGGAAGGCGGGATATATACATCCCTATAAGAAAAGGTCAGATTTGGTTTGGTTTGGTTTGGCTTTCGAGGCTCGGAAATGAAGGAAAGTAAGTCTACAAACAGACTGGATGCTCCCTTCTCCCCATCCACCTCACAGCATTGACTGCAACCACGTCTCAGAATCACGCCTCACCTCTCTCTCCCTGCTATCCAGATCAAAAGCCACCTTTATGAGGTGATCTGACAGAAACACAGCTGAAACATTCCTTGTGAGGTACATCCAGATGGCTTGTGTTGACGCGAGCGTGCCTTCTCCTCTCACAGAGTGAAGCTGTAAGAAGAGCTCACTCAAACCCTCAGGAGAATTTCTTTCCCTGGGAACACATGGAAGGCATCAAACCTTCGCTATCTGGGCCCAAGGAAAAGGGGGTAAGCCTCTGTACTAGGGGAGCGCTCCTGCCCGCGGTCCCTAGATCGTTTCCATACCAGCCTTCTCGTGACCTTCCATAGAGCTTCCCACATGCTCCCTTTTTTTTTTTCTGCCACTTTCTCCGACCTCCAAACCCGGTGAGACAGGATACTGGATATCCTCCATCATCCAGCCTCAGATGGCACTCACCCGAAACGGACCTGGGACCTAACAAGCGCCATACCGCCCCCTGGCTTCCGACCTCTTCCCTTTATCACGAGATAGTGCCCCTGCTGTAAAGTCGGTGGCCCACCTGCTACAGAAGGATTTGCTTCACCTGCTTTGCCACGCTCATGTGCCTGTCTGGGCCCCTGACCGTGGGCTGTTGGAGAACCAAAGGTCAGTCTCCTGACCGTGACAAGGGCTGGTCACCTGTTTAGCAGAATGACTGCCGTGAGGTAACCGTGGAAAGTTGCTTAGTCGACTGTGCTCGGAAGGGTGTCAGATGCCTCAACGGCTGTTTGGTTGCAAGTTTCTCATCAGAGCTTGAGTTGCCTTTTAGGCAGCAGAGCCAATGTCTCTCTTTATGAAAGTAAACCTTGAGATGGGAATTCCTGAATAGAAACTTTCTCCCCATCAAACATAGGGATCATCCTTATTATAATAAGACTGGAAAATCCCCTCTGTAGTAAACAGACTCATGACGTGTGTACCCACCAATCCTCCTAGTGTGAACAAAACACAACTCCCAGACATGCAAAGAAAGCGTGTGTATCTGAACCAGATACCAGAGCTAAGATCTGGATAGTTTTCTCCCGTGTGGCTTCTAAACTAACCCACACGGCAGCTCTAAAGAGCAAGAGATATGTCTAATTCAACAGTAGTCTCCGGGCTGTGGGTATAGTTCGGCCATGCTGCATTGGGCTTTAATCTCCAGAACCCACTAATATTTTTCAAGTAGTAAATGGGTGATTCCTGCATGGACCGGTTCCATCCATAGGTTCTGCTGGAACCCTGTGGAACCCTACTGTGAAAAAGACTTCTGGCCCTCAAAGAGACACAATGAGATGATCGCTTTAGCTCAGCACCTTGGGGAAGCATTTTACCCCCATAAATCTCAGGGTTTCTGTCTCTAATACCAAGGCAGGGGACTAGCTGATGTCTAAGGTCAGCTTACACATTTTAAATCTCGATCCTGAAAGTCAAATCAAGCACACTTTCTTCAGGCCGGCAGGGAACATTCCCTCTATGAAAGCTTCTTGGTCAAGGGCAAGAAAACGTGCCTTGGCAGTTAACTGCAAGTAAGGTGGTTTAATGGAAACCACCCAGAGGAAGGCTCCACTCCGTTCGCTTGATTTTGATACACTCTGTGTTTAGGGAAACTTGAAAGAAAAATAGAAAATACGCCTATGGAATGGAGACATGTTCAGAATTTTATTGTGTTTAATGTATACATATATGTATGAATATACATATCCATACATATCCATATATATCCCAGTCTTCAGCAAAGAACAGTGAGGTTTAAAACAATGCTTTTAGATGACTGAGATCCCTCAGATGTCAAGGGAAGATCTCATATTACACACAAATAACTTATTTAAATTAAGAAGGTCTGTAATCAGGACGCAAGATGGGTAAAAGCACTTGTCACCCAAGTGACCAGAGCTTGATTCCCAGAACCCAGAACAGAGAACCCATGGTGGGAGGAAGGAACTTAGACTCTGACCTCCAAATGCACAGGGCACACTCACACAAACTCGATAATAATAAATGAATTTATAAGATTTCATTTTATAAATGAAAGTCTGTGGTTAACTAAGCTAAGTTGAAATAGCAATAAGGTTTTGTAGAACTAACACACACGTAAGTAAATTGAATTCACCTGAATAAAATTCTAGATAGTGCCCTCTTGTGGCAAAAGCATGCAATTGCTGAATGGAAGTTTTGTCAGAGTACTGGGCAAAGGGTGGCAGCCATTTATTAAGCATTTTTCACATTTCAAGGATTGCCCTAGATATGTTTCACATGTCAATAAGATTTTTTAAAACCTTTTTTAAAAATAAATTCTAATACAGGGCCTTATGTATCTTATTCTGGTCTCTAAATAACTCCTTATGAAGCTGAAGACAACACTGCCTTTCTGATCTTCTAGCGTGGGCCAAGCGCTGGAGAGAGCACCACCTTGGCGCTGGACATAGAACCCAGGGCCTGGCAGACACCAGGCAAGCGCTCTGTAGAGGAACATCTCCAGCTCTACCACGAACGGCGTGGGGAAAGTGGTTTTCAACTGTGGAGAGTCCTGGAAATCTTTTCTTTCAGGTGAACTCGCCACTCGCACAAAAGCTTATACAGCTTGCATCTTGGGCATTCACCAAAGGCCTGCGCCTTAGGGTTAGTTCCCAGCTTGGCACCCCTGGAGGGCGGGTTGTGGGTCACTGGGAAGGGGAGGTGTTCCCTCAAAGGAGAACTGTGGAACTCTGGGGCCTCTGTCTCTTTCTCCTCCTTCCCTCCCTCCTTCCTTTCCTCCCTCATATGCTGGGAGGTGAACGCGAATGTTCTACTGTATACTCCCACCACAGTGGGCTGCCTACTATAGACCCAAAGCAGTTTTAGACCAAACATTCCTGGACTATGAGCCGAAAATAAATCTTTTTCCTTTATTTGGTGATCTATCCCAGTTACCTGTTTTAGCGGACGCTGCTCGACACGCGATGTATTTTCCCCTCGCTATCATGGAAATGGCAGACATGGCTAACCTTGGCCTGTCTTCCTACAGCTTCACTCTATCTCCTGGGATCCTGAGCTGTGACTCAGAAGCTGCCAGTCATACTTCAGATCCTGCTCATGGCCCCTAATTTCAGGTTGGCAAGATGAAGAAAGAGACAAGAAAGAAAAACAGCAACACCAAAAAGTAAGAGGGAGCTAGGCGGTGGTGGCGCACGCCTTTAATCCCAGCACCCGGGAGGCAGAGGCAGGCGGATCTCTGTGAGTTCGAGTCCAGCCTGGTCTAGAAGAACTAGTTCCAGGACAGGCTCCAAAGCCACACAGAAACCCTGTCTTGGAAAACAAAAAATAAAAATAAAACCAAAAGTGAGAGTGAAGAAAGGAAAGGGGGGGGGGGAATCACAGCTCAGTAAACACATTGTCGATAACCTTAGCCATCCTGGGTCTTTTTATTCAAGTGGTGGGGGTGGTCATGACTGTGAGGCATTTTATGAACAAGAACGACCTGCTTGTAACACTACATGCATATCTTCACTACAAATTATACTCCAGGTCTCTCATGACCCAGGTGTTAACTTACAGTAGGTTTCTCTACCACAGGTCCCAAGCGTGTTTCCAAATGGCGTTGAGCCCTCATACCTGGGGCCGAGGAGATACGCAACCAACCACTCTGATTCAGAGTGCTCAGTCCCTGCTTTACAGAACCCACGCTTCGGCCTCTTTAGGGGAGCCGTCCCTTCACCAAAGGCTGCACACTCAACTAACTCATTTGCTGCTTAGTTTCAAGTTCTCACGCGGGAACCAGGCTCAGTATGCTGAGATCCTCCAGCTGGTTCTCAACTTGTGGGTCATGACCCCTTTGGGGGCACCAAATGACCCTTTCACAGCAGTCCCTGTATATCAGATCTTTGCATTGTGATGCATACCAGTAACAGAACTGCAGTTATGAAGCAGTAATGAAATAATTTTACGGTTGGGGGGTCAGCACAACATGAGGAACTGTAGTAAGGGGTCCCAGCACGAGGAAGAGTGAGAACCTCTAGCGTGTATTCAGTGTCTGTGTTTCACATTTCGTGTCTGTGTTTTGCTCATGTTCACCCTTCCGTTATGTTCTGTCTCTTATGCCTCTCCCTCCAACTTCTTACAGAAATGCCAGGATTTCAGTTCATATAGAAACCTCCAAATGTTTACAGTTTGAAACTTGAAATGTAAGACAAAATAAAATAAAACTGTGTGTGAAACCCTGCCTACACTGAATGAAATAGGTGTTCTGCCCAGATGAACGTCGGCTCGCAGACCTCAGCTTCTGCCGTGGGGGCCTTTGTGGACTGATGTTCAAGCTACGGCTGGAACATGTCCGTCTCCTATGTCTCATAAGGAAGAAATTCCAGAAGAAACTGCTCGGGGCTTCTGGACTCTGTCACATCACTGTAGACGTCTCCTCCAGGTAAACAGCCTACCGTCTTCTGCATGAACGTCTCATGCTCGATGTGTCCGTGACATTTGATATTCCCATCAGTTCCGAAAAACATGAGTTTACAATGTCTGTGATAACATGTTTCTTTATTCTCTCAGGGACCACTCATAGCTATATATTTTTCTCTGTGTTCAAAAAACAATCTGATCATCAAGAAAATCTATCCCACTCCTATGGATAAAGTTATGATAGCTCTAGTGGGGACTGTGAAAACTCCTGGAGGATCAAGATATTCATTGACTAAGACACCTGTGGACATTTGGACTTGGGTCTGAGAAGAGAATTCCATCATTAAAGTTCTCCCTTCTCATCTCTTCCTAATTAACTACTGAAGGGTAAGATTGGCACCTGACCATCCCTGGGGACCATGAGCCCATCATCAACCCCTTTCCCACAGTCCGTCTGTTGTACATGTTGGTAATGTATGTGCAGAGAAGTACAAAGTAATTAGGCATGCTCTGAACCTACAACACTCGAAAATGTAAATCTCTGCCACTCTCTGGGCATACAGCACGTCTGCTTTTAGTTCCTCTTTAAGCCTTGCCCTCAGCCCAGACATTCTTTTCCAGTTGGTTAGCTGGTTGGCTGGTTGAGTTTTTCAAAACCAGCACACAAAGTAATGGGTTTCATTGTGACATTTTCATACATACTTCATTTTTGCCAATCCCCCTCCCCTCCTCTCCTCCCTGTCCTCTTGCATTTCTCCTGCTGGCCCCTTTTCTTCCCCGGCAGCAGCCTCTCTCTGCTTGCGTCCCACACCTATTCCATCTTCCTCGCTCTCCTCCAAAGACCTCTTCTTGCTTTCTCATGATCTCCTTCCTAATTTGATGAACTATATGTCCCCCAATACACACATATAAACAGACACATATATACATATAAATTAAAATCTAGGATCTGTGTATGACAAAAACATGCAGTATTTATCTTTCTGAGTCAGGTTATGTTGCTTAATAAAATAATTTCCAGTTCCACCCACTTTCCTGCAAATGTTATGACTTCATTTTCCATTATGACAGTCCAAAGGGTTTTGACTGCAGAACTTCCAAAATTGATACAGAGTAAAAATAAAAAAAAAAGTCACATCTTCAGATCATACAATGGGGGGGAGGGGCATGGAGAAAGGGGAAGCTTCTAGAAGGAATAGCTGAGGAGAAAATGTCTCCAAGGAAGGTCCTCTGTGAAGCTCCAATAGGAAATTAGGCTAAAGCTCCCTGGCAAACAGGAATAAAGGTTAAGCAGGCATGATTCAGCATGCCTCAGGCAACTGGAATAACAAGAGACCTATGATCACATACATCATCATATATATACATATGTGCAAGACACAGGCCAGTTTCGTTTACAGCTTATAGTTTCAGCAGCTGGGCAGTTTCCTTGTAGAAGCTTTGCTCCTTAAAATTGGGGTTCTTTAAAAGATGAATGGAATGAGGGCTTTCCTAGATTTGGGGTAATCCTCAAACGTCTTGAGGTAGAACCTAAAAAGACAAGAAAGGAAGGAATGATTACAAACAGAGTAGTTGTGAACCACTGAGCTTGCGCACGTCAACCCGGTTATTCAGCACCTGACCCTTCCTGGGGCCCATGTGCCCATCATTGGCCCCTTTCCTACAGTCTGGCTCTGTTGTCTTGGCCACCTGTGTGCAGATAAGTACAGAGGACGATCAGGGGGTAGTGGAGATGATTTTACAATATTACAGATGCACTTGCCATCAACTTTACACTGGAAATTGTTAAAGTGGTAAATTTTATGCTGTGCATATGTCACCAGTTTTTTTTTAATAGACAAAGGAAGTACTCATTTGGGCTCACTCTGCTGAAAACTGCAGGAAGCTAGAGCCTCCCAAAAATCTGGACAACTGGTGAACTAGTGGCAAATTAGTAATGGGGCTCTCTGATTGGACCAGGGGCCTGCTCCACAGGAGGAAATCCACATCTGGGACAAAAAAAAAAAAAAAACCTGGACAGGAGTCCACGGCTGGGAAGCAGAACTGCAACTGTTCTGCTAAGTGGAAAAGACGTTGCCCATCGAAGTGCTGTGTAAATAGCTCCATTTACACCCGTAGATCGGTGCTACGACGTTGCTCAGAGCAGCTTCTTTTGGCAGTAGGCAGCAGTAACTGCGAAGATTCATAATGAGTCAAAGTGTTAAGAACAAGGAAATGCTAAGTGCTCAACCATGAAAGGAGCTTCTGGATCATGCCAAGGCTTAAGGAGAATCACAGAAGATGGGAGAGGAAGAATTGCGGGTCAGGAGAAGGAGTGGAATGAAGTGGAATGCTGTCTTTAGAACACGGCGGGCGTCACCATTGCACTCCGGTCCTTCAGCAGTTGAGGCCTGAGACCTGTACAAGACTGAGCTTGTCAATAGCCTGCCATGGTCCCCTCCCCGGGACCTCCAGGAAGAGAATCATAGCTAGTAGGAAGGTGTTCACAGGGCTGGCCTGCCCCTGAGGGTCTACAGGCAGTTACTAGTTGCTAGAGTGAGGGAGAGACATTTGCTTTGGTGGTGTGGCCACCTACAAGGATCTCAAGCTCTTATAAACAACCCCTTACCCAGGATCCTGTAAGCAATTCTACGAGACTCACTCGGTCATGAAAAGTAAATAAACAGGACTAGAGAGATAGCCCAGCAGTGAGGAGCTCTTGTTGGTCTTCTAAAGAACCCGAGTTTGGTTCCCAGCACCCATGTGCAGTGGCTCACAACTCCATGCCTGTAACTCAGCTCAGTTGAGGGCCTCTTCTGGGTGTGCACACACACACAATACACACACACACACACACAATATGCACGCACGCATGCATGCATATGAACACACAGACACAATACGCACACACACATGCACGCATGCATGCATATGAACAAACAGACACACACAATACATGTAAATAAAATAAAAATAAGCTTTTAAAAATAAGATAAAACCATTTAAGAGTAGGGGAAACAATAAAGAGTAGTAATGATGAACATGATAAAATACATCATATATGTAAGAAAATGCCTTGAGGCTCATTATTGTATCTAACTAACACATGCTAATTTAAAAAAATTACAAAAAGTTATGGGAAAAGTTAACCTCAGAGAATTGATAGCACTTTTTGGAAAAAATCCCCTCCTGAAACTTGGGAATGCCGCTGTTACTATGGATTGCTATGCCACTATCATTATGAATTTTGCCCCCTAAAAGGTAGGGTGAAGTCCTACCTCCCGACACCTGAAGATGCAGTCTTGTTTTGGAACTCTGGTCACTGCAGATGTAACTAATTAAAATAGCTCATAACGGTGCAGGGTGGACCCTTAATCCCACAGACCTGAAAAGAGGCAGGAAGGCGGAGGGGATGGGAAGGTCACAGGCAGACTGGCAGAGGTTAGAGATCTGCTCCAGTCATGGAAAATCAAGAACAATAGTCTCCACCAGAACCGAATAAAGGCAAGGAAGGGTTCTTCCTCAAGCTGTTCCAGAGAGCACGGCCCTACCTGTACCTTAAGACCAGAGCTCTGAAGAGAGAGATTTCCCTTGTCCTAAACCCATGCAGCTGAGGGTCGTTTCCTTCGACAGCCTAATGAGATTAATGCATCTTACAAAAAGCCTCTACCCTGTGGGACTAAATTGTCCTCTTTGCTAGCTGAAGCTAATGGCCCTTGAGGCATAATAAAGACCAAATACACTCAGCTAAAGTGCTTTGGGTTTAGACTGGAAAACCAGAAAATAAATAAATAAATATAATAAAACGTGCCGGAAGGTCCTGGCCTGAGCTGCTTTGATTTGAAAAGATCCCGAGTGCGCAGGCCACCCTGCCAATGCCTGTCCTTGCTTCATGAGCACCTACACAAAGCCCTCTTGGTCCTATTAAAAGAGCCAGCCCTGGCTCTCCCTCCAAGAGGACCATAACCAGATGGCCTCAATTTGATTCTGATGTTGCACCAGCTGGAAACTTGTGGTGGAATTCCTGACCAAGTATTTCACGGTCTAGGTCTCTCAAAGACCCCCTTATGCACCCGGCAATGCCCTGACCTCTGCCATTCTCTCACTGCCTCTGATAGGCAGCAGACTCTCCTGAAGTGGAGGGCTGTTATGTTGTCTCTCAAAGGCCATGAACCTTTGAAACCCTGCCCTCTCTCTGCGTGTCTCTCTTTCTTTCTCTCTCTCTCTTTCTACCTTTCTTTCTTTCTTTCTTTCTTTTTCCGAGACAGGGTTTCTCTGTGTTACAGCCTTGGCTGTCCTGGAATGGCTCTGTAGACCAGGCTGGCCTTGAACTCACAGAGATCCATCTGCCTCTGCCTCCCCAGTGCTGGGATTACCCTGTACCTTTCAATCCAGGAGGTGATGGACATAGGTCATGGGGAAACTTCCACTTTGACTGTTCCCGAACTGGTCTCAGTTCCCACTCAGAAGAAAGGAGACTGCGCCTCATCTAATCCTGAAGACTACTAGAGAAGTCATTAACAGGAGAGACGCTGAGGCAAGAACTTAAGGAGCACTCAGCCCCGTTCTGTACCCCATATGTTCCTCCCTGGTCTCTCAGCTTTCTCGCTACAAAAGTTCCTTTAAGGTAGGCATGTGAAGTAAACAATTCATTACCCTTTCCTCCCCAGCACCCCTCTCTGTTATCTCTGTTAGCCTACTCAACCCTTGCCTGATGGGTTAAAGCTGAAGACCAAACCTTCCAAAGGAACGCCTTAAATGCCTGCAGTTCCAACATATACCAGCAGATGGAGCACTCGGGGCCCACCTGCTTACCTTACCTTTCCAAGAAGCCTGGACATGCTGACAATGGGACGGAAGAGAACTGAATTGAAGCACGGACATTTGTTTCACCTCTTAGCCCATTATCTGAACTTTCCTGTCAAGTGGTTATCATCACCAGGCATAGAACCTGGACCAACCAACTAACTCACTGTGGGAAGTCACCTTTTACTTTTATTCTCCTATGTTAACTATGCATAGTAGTAAGCTCCATTGTGACATTTTCATACACTTGTAAATGCACTTTGGTCGTTTCTGTTACCCTCTCTTGTCCTTTCCCACTCCCACTCATCCCCTTTCTCTTCCCAACTATTTCCCTCCTATTTTTATGGTTTGTTTATGATTCCTCGAGTTTCATTAGGGTTGCTCATAGGAACATGGGCACCTTACCATTGGCAACACCACTGGGAAAAAAGTTTCTCTCTTTCTCCCATCAATAGTAACTAAATTCTCAGGGAAGGAGAGTGGGAGACCCTCCTCAACAAGGTGGGCATAATGGCTGCCCAGCCATCCCCTCTGGTGCCTCTGTCTAAGTTATCATTTTCATTGTTTCCGGGCTCCCTGGCTGTCAGCATTCAGGCAAAATTCTTGGTCACCCCAGGTGACCAAGCCAGCGCATTTCCAGGGTCCCGTGGCTGCTCAGGTGCCATCAGCACACACCCTATGTAATCTATGCCAGTATGGCCACGTAATCTATACACATGCATGGTGTGGGAAACTATCCCGGAGATTTTTACGTACCGACGAGGTTAAATTTTGCCTTTTTACCTTTTATTCCTGGTCATCAAATTCGATAATTTCCTCAATCTTTTCAAATCTGTTTACCACTACCTTTTGTAAAGTCTGGATCTCCTGTCCAGTGTTCTGCTCTAATGCCCTCATTGAGGATTCCTAGGTATGAGGTCTGTCCAATAGAGATAATGGCTCATCCTTGGACATAATCTTACTAGCATGCATATTACCTGGGCTGGTCCGAAGGTAGTGAGTTACCCCAATTAACTGTTCACAGTTACAGACTGAACTCCTGTTCTACACTCCCCCCACTTTCCCATGCGCTGAATTACCTTTAAAAGTGGACACGTCCATTCCTCTCTCTCTCTCTCTCTCTCTCCACATTTCTTCCAGACAGACCTGTGCACTCCCTCCTTCGCCTTCCCCCATTCTTTATTAATAAAACCATTAAAGTGGGTTTCATTGTATATCTTGTGGTCCATTCTCTCGCGCACAATAATATCAATCTATACAGTCTTTTTATTTATTTATTTATGTACTGCTACCATTATCCAACTCAATTCCGGCTTCAGTAAAAGCTTGAAAAGTGAGGATTTAATCACATAATTTGATAATTTATCACATTTCCGTTATCATGTGTTTGTAAATCTGATTCCAAATTCTTCTGCAGTCTCACTGGAGAAGAATGCTCTGTGATGCCACAACCTTGGGACACTGTTAGCTGTCACCTTGACTTCTCGAAGGCAAGCCTCTGGTAACAGCTGTGAGGGGCTGTTTATATGAAGGGATGGCCTCAGAAAACACCTGTGAGGGGTTGTCCTGACGAAGTTCATTGCTATGGGAAGACCCATCTCAATCATGGTAAGACCATTCCCTGGTGAGGGACTCTGGACTGTATAAAATGTATACAGAGGTTCTCAACCTGTGGGTCACAACCCCTTTGGGGACACATATCAGACATCCTGGAGAGAAGACGTTTACGTTACGATTCAAAACAGTAACGGATTTACAGTTGTGAAGTGGCAATTAAATAATGTTAGGGTTGGGGTCAGCACGGCATGAGGAAGTGTGGGAAGGCAGAGAACCGCTGGTATAAAAGGAGAGGGCAAGCGGAGCAGAGCACACACGCAATCATTCATCTGCTTTCTGCATTTGACTGTGAATGAATGCAATGGGACCACCTGCTTCGAGTTCCTGCCCCCTTGACATCTTCGCAATGACATTGCTTCCATAACCCGGAAGTGAGCCATATCAACCCTTTCTCCCTTAAGTGGCTTTCGCCAGGGCATTTTTAATCAACTCCGTTGAAAAGCTTACCTGTGGTGGTAAAAAGCTTGCATCCCAAGGAAACAAAGTGAGAAAAATGCAAATGCAAGGGCTGGGATGGACCACGTGGCCAAGGCATAGCCCATCCATTCAATGATCTCACCCAGGAAATTGGCTCCCGAAACATACGTAAACAAGCCACCTGTGTGTAGAGAATCAGAAAAACGGTGCTCAGAACCTCAGTTCTGTGATACCGCATCCCTGGCTGTTGTTCCGGAACACACAAAGACGGGTAAACAGATGTAAGATGGGAGGCCCCTTCTACAGCCAGAGTTTAGAGGAAGGCTCTTAGAAATAGAGGAAAGCAAAGCAACCGCAGCCCTTTGCCTGCCGAAGGTTCTGGAATCCTGGAGTGGCCCCATCTACTGATGGGCATTGTCGGGATTTCTTTACAACTGTTAGGCCACCAGCTTTGAGACGAGACGAGCACGAGGTGCAGACGGCTGCTTCTCCTTCCATTCTAAAGGACATTTTCAGGCCACTCCTTACCTTCCCAAGCCTTCCCCGGCAAGACCCCAGTCACACAAAGTAAAACAAGGCATTACATTGAAATGAAATCTTAACAGGTGTGAGAAATGATTTGATTCGTTTGGACCCTTTGATCCTCCAGTACCTGGTTCCCTGCCCTCAACACTGCTCGTGCTGAGAGCAGAGGATATTCGCCCTGCTGGGGCTAAAAAGCTCTGTTGCTATTGAAGCATTTCTCTTCTACCCACCAGATAGCTCTCGTCTCAGAACTACCTAGAAATCAAGGCATTTCTGACGACGTTAAATATACCCACACTCAAGCTTTATGAGCCGTCTTAAACTAGAAAAGTTGTGACCAAAACAGCTTTTCTCCTCCTGTAATTACGTTAAAACGTGCTTTCAAGCCGTTCTCTCTCACTCTTAGAACTCTGCTGGAAACTGACCTTGGTGATCTGGTTTCTAAGAACTGTCCCAGCTCATCTTGGCTTAATCATTAAACCGGAGTTTTCTAGTGTTGAGTGCACTTAGTGTTGGAATGTGAGCGCTGCCCACGGAGTCCTGTGGGAACACTTTGTCCCCAGCTTGTGGTACTGGTTCAGAAGGCTGTGGAACCTTCTGGCCATGGGTCCTTGCTGGCAGGTGGAAAGCTATTGGGGATGGGCTCGAGGGGGATAGTTGCCCTGGTTCCTGCCCAAGCTCTCTACTTTCTGGCTGGCTACAGAGATAGACGAAAGCAAGTAACCCTACGTTCCTGCCACCAGTGATAAGAGCCCTCCTAGCACGCCAGGTGTCCTCACCTTCTCTACCTGGACGCTGAGATAACTAACGGTGCTTCTGTCCAGTGTTCTGTCCCAGCTGTGAGAGACATGGCTGACACAAGGAGCAAGTTCCTTGACTATTGCTTTTCCGAAGGATGACACTGTGTCGTTGTCTTCCTGCCCATGACACCCTTGACTTTGTGAGGGTCCAATTACCCATGAACATGGTCTAGCTTAGTTCCTTGGATACCAAGAAATTAATAATACTTACCATTTAAAATAGCCCTAACTATGCAGTAGGCCACCCCATCCAGGTTCTTGTTAGCACACTATGATGTTCACCTGACATCTTTAGCTTCTTTGCTAGCACAGCCAAGGCTCACACTCTGTGTAAATGACAGGCTTATATACTAGGCTGTAAACTATCCCCACCTCTTAGCCAAGCTTGGTGCCCTCTGTCACCTTGAGGGTACTATGATCTTCCTACCTAGGGTGGGCAAGAGGTCATTTATGTCTCTGTCTCTCTGTTTCTCTCTCTCTCACTCACTCACTCTCCATCTCTCTCTCTCTCTCTCTCTCTCTCTCTCTCTCTCTCTCTCTCTCTGTGTGTGTGTGTGTGTGTGTGTCTGTCTGTCTGTCTGTCTGTCTCACTCTGTGGTGGGGTGGGGAGTACCTGTAACAAGACCAACCTTGAACTCACTATATGACCTTGAACTTCTGACTCTGGATCTTCCTGCCTCCCCTTCCTAAGGGCTGGCATCACAGATATGTACGGCCATGCCTGAGTTAAGTGTTGCTGGGAATGGAACCCAGGGCTTCATGCATGCTAGGCAGTCACTCCACCAACTGAGTTAGAGCCCTAGTTGTCTTGGAGTTTCCTTAGATTCTGCAGAAGGGACAGAGTATGCAGGGGAGGGCAGAAGCCAGCCACAGTGTACATATTGCACAGCTGTGCTGTCAGAACCCTCCCCATTTGTCAACCCCTGGGGCAGGCTCCAGTGAACACTGAAGATCTGATAGTCAGGGAGGTGTTACCTTGTGGAATCTTATAGACGATTTCTCCAGGCTTCCTAAGCTGGCGCAGCAAGTAGTCACTGTGGATGTTGATCCCCATTCCCAAAACAAATAGGAAGACACCTTGGCAAAGAAGAGAGGAAACAGATCAAAAGATACACTCTGCTTTGATATTTTTCGCACAAGATTTTTTAGTTGCCACATCTAAGAATGGTATTCAGATACGGTCTGAAGCTTTCTGGGAGGAGAGGTTTTCCTGTTCCTAGGGTAAAAATGTTAGCGCTCTCGTAAGGTGTGATAGAGAGAGAGTGGGGCAAGCAGGAGACAATAGCATTGTGTGTATTAAACAATAAATAAATAAATCGATAAGTAACAGCAAGCACGTGGCCGACTCACTAATGGCCAACTGGCTGGCTCATTCACCGGCCAGCTCCACGCTCTCCTTTGTCATGCCCCACTGTGAAGGTTGGAAGTTGACATTACATGTGCATGCAATTGTCAATGCACAAACTCTACCAATAAAAAAGTGACTCATTTCTTTATAGTTAAATATAAATATTATGCTCAAGATAATGGTTTGATAAAAACTAAGAGTTATTATTTTTAACCCAGAGGTCTTCCCTCTCTGCTGTTTTGTTTTAGAGCCAAACAACACCCTCCGTGTGTAACCGTATTTCACAGTGAAGCCTCTGCTCCTGGGTGATGTGTGAATGTTCACTCTGACTACAGCATAAGAGGCTGAAGGACAGGCTGGAGACGGGATTCTCAGTGTGGAGGCCACTGACGGCGGACGTCTGGGCTAGACAGACCTGTGGCTTGGTGTAGGACAAAGCTAATGCAGCTAAGGAGAAGAGAGCCCAGCAGGAACTGGTTCTGAAGACAGCGGAAGTAGTTAAGTCAATAGGCAGAATGTGATAAGTGATATTACTAAGGATTAAGAATGATTTCTAGGTCAGGCAATGGTGGCACACAGCTTTGATACCAGCACTTGGGAGGCAGAGGCAGGTAGACCTCTGGGAGTTCAAGGCCAGCCTGGTCTACAAAGCTAGTTTCAGAACAGTCAGAGAAACCATGTTAAAAAAAAATCTATATTGATCTTTTTTTTTTTTTTTTTTCTACATGAGCCAAGATAGTATACAAAGAACTTAAATATCCTGGACCTTGGTTCTTCTTACAGACGTGAGGGGAGCGAGCCAGGGAGATGGCTCAGTCAGTAAAGTGCTTGGCTTGCAAGCACTAGGACCTGAGTTTAATCCTATAGTCCATGTTTCTAAAAGTCCAGAATGGTGACACACATTAAGGAACCAAGTAAAGAAGATATAGAGACAAAAGGGTCCCTGGCACTCCCTGGCAAGTTAGTCTAGTCCTATAGAAGCTCCAACTTAGGTGAGAGACCTTGTCTCAGAAAGCACTGCAAGCAACTGTCCGGAGGAACAGCACCCAAGTTGACCTTTGACCTCCATGTGCGCCCATACACAAACACAAAGAAACATGTATGTGCACATAAATACAATGGAGGAAAATTATATTATATTTTTATTACTTTAAATTATTTTTTAATTTAAATATATTTAATTATATTCTTTCCCTCCCCCAAGTTCTTCAAGATCCTCTCCTCCCTATCCTATACAACATGAAGTTCTTTCTCAAAAAACAAAAACTCAACACAACAAGAAATCACACCAAACCAAGAAAACAATACCTCATCCTCAAAAAAAAAAAAAAACTAAACTGTAACCAAATAAAAGCACACAAAAACTAGTCAGTGGTGGCATGCACCTTTAATCCCAGCACTTGGGAGACAGAGGCAGGCAAAGCTCTGTGAGTTCAAGGCCAGCCAGGTCTACAAAGTGAGAAGTGAGTTCTAGGACAGCCAGTGGCTGTTGAACTAAAAAAAAAAAAAAAAAAAAAAAAACTGTCTTGGAAAACAAAAACAAACAAAAAAAATTTTTAAAGAAAGCACACATACATACAAAAAAACAAAAACAAGCAAACAAACAAAAAATCCTGGGGAACTGACTGGGAGAAGATCTTCACCAACCCCGCAACTGACAAAGGTCTGATCTCCAAAATATATAAAGAACTCAAGAAACTAGACCATAAAAGGCTAATCAATCCAATTATAAAATGGGGCACTGAGCTGAACAGAGATCTCTCAACAGAAGAAGTTCAAATGGCCAAAGGACACCTAAGGTCATGCTCAACTTCCTTAGCGATCAGGGAAATGCAAATCAAGACAACTTTAAGATACCATCTTACACCTGTCAGAATGGCTAAAATCAAAAACACCAATGATAGCCTTTGCTGGAGAGGTTGTGGAGAAAGGGGTACACTCATCCATTGCTGGTGGGAATGCAAACTTGTGCAACCACTCTGGAAAGCAGTGTGGAGGTTTCTCAGAAAATTCGGGATCAACCTACCCATGGACCCAGCAATACCACTCTAGGGAATATACCCAAGAGAGGCCTTATCATACAACAAAAGTATATGCTCTACTATGTTCATAGCAGCATTGTTTGTAATAGCAAGAACCTGGAAACAACCTAGATGCCCTTCAATTGAAGAATGGATGAAGAAAGTATGGAATATATACATATTAGAGTACTACTCAGCAGTAAAAAACAAGGACTTCTTGAAGTTTTCAGGCAAATGGATGGAAATAGAAAACACTATCCTGAGTGAGGTAAGCCAGACCCAAAAAGAGGAACATGGGATGTACTCACTCATATTTGGTTTCTAGCCATAAATAAAGGACATTGAGCCTATAATTCGGGTTCTTAGAGAAGCTAAATAAGAAGGAGAACCCAAAGAAAAACATATAGGCATCCTCCTGAATATTAACCTTCATCAGGCGATGAAAGGAGACAGAGACAGAGACCCACATTGGAGCACCGGACTGAAATCTCAAGGTCCAAAACAGGAGCAAAAGGAGAGAGAACAAAAACAAGGAACTCAGGACCGCGAGGGGAGCACCCACACACTGAGACAATGGAGATGATCTATCGGGAACTCACCAAGGCCAGCTGGCCTGGGTCTGAAAAAGCCTGGGTCAAAACTGGTCTCGCTGAACATAGCGGACAATGAGGACTACTGAGACCTCAAGAACAATGGCAATGGGTTTTTGATCCTACTGCACGTATTGGCTTTGTGGGAGCCTAGGCAGTTTGGATGATCACCTTACTAGACCTGGATGGAGGAGGGTGGTCCTTGGACTTCCCACAGGGCAGGGAACCCTGATTGCTCTTTGGGCTGAAGAGGGAGGAGGACTTAATAGGGGGAGGGGGAGGGAAAGGGGAGGCGGAGGTGGGGAAGAGACAGAAATCTTTAATTAATTAATAAAGAAATAAATAAATTTAAAAAAAATCCTTGGGAGTCCATTATATGTTGATCCGGAACATGAGGGCTGTCCTGGAGTGGTTCATATACCCTGGGTCACACCATTGGGGAAAATTGATTTTTCCCTCTCTAGCAGATATAAATGACGGTTCAGTTGTTAACTTTGACCCTAGCGCCTTGGTTTTCACTCATTCAATTACTCACTCATTTATTCATTTTTAAAATGTAACAAAGTGAAATATAATAAAATAAAACAAAAACTATTATATTGAAGTTGGACAAGACAAAGCAACAGAAGGAAAAGAGCCCAAGAGAAGGCTCAAGAATCGGAGAACAAAAATCAGAGGTGCAGTTGTTTGCCCACTTAAGAGTCCCATAAAAACACTAAACTGGAAGTCATAATAAAAGCTCAGAGGATGTGGCAAGATAGATTCGTGCAGGCCCTGTGCATGTGGCTTCAATCGCTGTGAGATCACATGAGCTTTGCTGTTGTTGACGTAGAGAGCCTTGTTTTCTTGGTGTCCTCCATCCCTTCTGGCCTTTACACTCTTCCCACCTCCTCTTCCACAGAAAATAGGAGAAATTTTCAAAGATCAGTTTCTTCCATTATTTCAGGTGTTCAGGGAAAGCTTCTTTGAGGAGGGTAAAACTGGTAGAGAACAAAGCAAGGAAGAGGGCCAAACCTTGAAGCTCAGCGAAGCAGAACTGTCTAGGAAGGCTGGCACAGCACAGGCCTGACTACTTGAACCCCAGCACAGGAAATGAGGTGACAGGGTGCAGGAATAACCTCCAAGTCAGAAAGACCTAAAACATTTGGGTTTTGTAGGTAGGGGAGCCTGTGTGTATCATGGAGCAGTAGAAATCTATCTGCCCATTTTGAGATGGGAGATGATGGCACATATTTAAATCTTCTCCCCGACTGCCTTGTGGGGAGGAGGCCAGAGGAGGAGTCTGAGTGGAGAAGAAGCCAGCAAGGAGGCTGCTATAGGATAAGAGACAGTGGTGACTGACACTGTGGGGCTGGGGCTAGCTGGGAAGGGAGGAGAGATGGATTCACTTACCCAAGCTAAACCGTACATCTGTGTACCACTCCTCAGGGTATTCTGCGCAGTAAATCAGATAGTGTGCTTGAAGAAATCCATTTCCTGTGCAGAAGGCAATCGCTCTCAGAAAGAGAATCACTGGGTAAGGCCTCCCTCTGGTGAGCAAGGAATAAATAAATGTCCTAGAAGGGAAGGAGAGAGTGATTAAGAGTCTTTATTGTTGGGGAGGGGAGGGGAGGGTGTAGGCAAACCACGATAGACTAGTGCTGTGCCATAATGTTCCTGTAACCTGTGAAGATTTGTCACTTGTATTGGTTTAATAAAACACGGATTGGCCAGTAGCCAAGCAGGAAGTATAGGTGAGGTGACCAGAGTAGGGTCTAGGAAGAGGAAAACCCAGGTGCAGAGACAGCAAGATAAAAATGCTGCACATTGAAAAGGTACCAAGCCACGCGGCTAAACATAGGCAAGAATTATGGGTTAATTTAAGTTGTAAGAGTTAGTTAATAAGAAGCCTGAGCTAACAGGCCAACAGTTTATAATTAATGTAGACCTCTGTGTGTTTCTTTGGGACCAAACAGTTGTGGGACTAGGTGTGACAAAAATTTCCATACACAAACACTTAAATGGTGTTTAGGTGGCATGCTTCTTGGTGGTGGCATGGACCTAGAAACTCCACAGAGTTATAGCAAAAAACGTGGTCTAGAAACTCCACAAAGTTGTGGTAAAAAAAAAATATGTGGTTCTTACCAGTATCTCCACCATGAAGCTAGACTCTTAGGAAGCCAAGGAGTGGGGTAGATCTAGCAGCCAAAGCCATGGCTTTAATCCTAGCCATATCGCTTAGCAAATTAAAGACTCATGTGGTCAGAAAAAGAGAAATATACAGTAAAGACCAATTCAGACAGAGAAAAAAACTCTAAATAGTTTACAGTCTGTTTAAAAATATACATAGGCTTGGGAAAGAAAAAAAAGGATAAAGTTCTTTTTTAAAAAAAAAAAAAAAAGAGTAGTTGGGTGGTTGGGTGTGGTGCACACCTTTAGTCCTAGCACTTGGGAGGCAGAGGCAGTAAGATATCTGTAAGTTCAAAGACAGCCTGGTCTACAGAGTGAGTTCCAGGACAGTTAAGGATACAGAGAAACCCTGTCTCAAGTCCAAGCGAATAAGCACATCAAGGTCATTACCGTAAACACTTTTCCCTTGAATTTGGCCCAGTCAGTAAAGTGTTTCTCTTAACAAGCATGAGGGCCTGAGTCTACTCCCACAATCTGGTTTGCTTTTGCCTGATATAGCGGCATGTACTTGTTAATCTAGCACAGGGGACACAAAACATGCATTGAATGGACAATTGCTATCTAATTCTAAAACGATGATTTTTACTGGGTTTTTTTTTTGTCTTTTTTGGTTTTTAGGTTTTGGTTTGTGTTTTGAGGGGTTGGGGAGTTGTTTGTTTGTCTTATGACATTAAAAATGCATAGAAACTACCATTTAGTCCTCATTTTATTTACACAACAGCCTTGAAAGGTAGGTACAAACTCCATCTAGCAGTTCATGGTGGCGGGGAAAGACCCAAAGAATTATCACCCTTATAAAAATCAAGGTAAAAATTGGCCCCACAAAAAAAGTCCAAATCAATTCTTTTTCATAACTTTAAATATTCACTAAAAAACTTGCAACAACCCACAGGACTCTGATAAAGAAAATGCTGCATTTCATCGAAGGCAACAAACCCTGTGATATTAACTTACCCTAGACCCATTTACCATGCTCTCGCTCTCTGCAGCTTGAAAACTAAGAGCCCGTGTTCCAAGTGTTGGTGAGGGTAGGAAGGTGTGGGACTCTTTCACAGGTCTCATTCCCAAAGAGAAGCCTTTACTCCACCTGTCTAGTAGCTCCCGAAGAGGTGAGCCCCAAAAGTTTGTCTCTATGCCAACTGACCCAGTGTTGAATGATTTAAAGGGGAGCCATGTCTTTTGGTGTTTTGGTAGCTTGGTACCCTAAGGGGCAAAGACATACCATATGAAAGATTAAAAGGGAAAAGCTAGGGATGAGATGTTCTCAGGAGTATTGCAATGCTCAGATGGGAAAGTTGTAATTGGAAATACCAATATAAATGGGGAGTTCAGAAAAATGGCCCTCTCCAAGGTCTGGGAGTAAAGATCTGCTGGCAGCAGCCTGCAACCAGGCCTTCATCCTTCAATCCCTCTCCCTAAAGGAGCTAGGGCACCATGGAGAAATAGCTAATGGAACATCAAGGGCAGGGAGGATAGACAGTATATCAGGATGTCTTACTGAGTTGGAAAGTAAAGGAACAGTTGAAAATGAGCAGGGAGACGGGCGGTTGCCCCAATTATAGACACCAACTGCTCCACTAGCCGTGCTTGTGATAAACAGGGTGCAGGAAAGAATAATGGTTGTAGACAATTGCAAATATTGGATCAATAAAGTTCTGTGAGTCCATACTGGTCCATTAAAAACATTATAAACTTTGTCACTGCTAGAGGTAACTATTACATTAAATCCTTGCTCTGATAAAACATAGCTAGAGGGACAATTAAGCACTTATCCTACGTCCCATGCTCCTGCCTTTTTACACTTGTCACCTGCAATTGATGAGCAAAAGCTTTTCTTCTCAGTAAAACAGCAGTAAGTAAATACTACAGTCAGAAAAGCTATCATCTGAGGGACTCCAAAATCACCCACAGACTACCATCTTTCCATGACTTGATTTAAAAGAGCGACTAAGTACAAAAGAATGGAGAACCAGTTCAGGCAGGATCATGAGAGAGGCCACAGCCACCGTTTAGCAGAGGGACCTCACACAAGAAGGCAATAGCACAAACTATTTCTTCCTTTGCTCTTCAGTTCAAAGCTGGAGAAATGGCAGATGTGTAGCTTCCATGAGAAGCCCCTGCAGGGACGGAGGCGGGTAGGCGAGGAGGGAGTCACTGCCATATCTGAAGTCAGCAGTGCTGTGACATAGCACGGGACTTTTCGAGGATGGTTTTATTAATTCTTCTCTTGCTTGAAAAGAAGTCCCAAGACCCACAGCCTCTGGTGTGGAGAACAGCTCAAGTCACCTGGGATCTAGGCTGTCTCATCAAAGGTTTACTGAAGCCCCACTAGAATGGCAGTAATAAAAGCAATCACATTCTAACTGGTCACCCTTGAACATCCATTCTCCCAGCTAACATGTCGCAATCTATCCACTCCTCTCCCCAGAGCTGCATACCTCCCTGATGCCCGGATTACAGTGGCTGGGGGTGGGGGGGGGGGCACTGTTTTGTGATGCTTGTGGTTTTCATCTTAAGTTCACAAGAGGACACTGACAGGGACTTGCTCTTTATCCCTGGCCTAGCTCACATGGCATAGATATTCCTCAGGAGAAATGACTCTGCGCCAAGTTAATTAGACACCCAAGAAGTCCAACAAATATGCAAACATCTTGAGTAAATAACATTGAACAACACACACTGGGTAAAGTGGAATTGCCATAACAGAATGACTTTAAATAAGCCCCAAAGTATCCTCCAAGAAATGTTTTCAAGACAGGAAATAGCGCTTAAAAGGGAACTCCATAACAATACAGTATGAGAAAAATACACTGGTTAACTATTAGGTGCAATTCTTAAAATAAAGAGTGGTGGCGCACGCCTTTAATCCCAGCACTCGGGAGGCAGAGGCAGGCAGATCTCTGGGAGTTCGAGGCCAGCCTGGTCTATGAGAGCTAGTTCCAGGACAGGCTCCAAAGCTACAGAGAAACCCTGTCTCGAAAAACCAAAAAAAAAAAAAAAAAAAGAGCAGATGGCATTGACCTGGAAGTTCAAGAAGGAATGAATGACTAGACTCAAGATGTTATTCAGGGAGGAAATGGACCACATCCATTAGAGTTTTTGTTTTAATTTACATGTGTGTGTGTGCGTGTGTGTGTGTGGCATGTGTGTCTGTCTGTCTGTCTCTGTGTGTGTCTGACTGCCTGCCTGTCTATCCGCCTGTCGGTCTTTCTTTCTGTGTGTGATGTGGGAGAGGAGCAGGTGCATGGCACCATACCTGGTGATAAGAACACAACGTGGGGAGTCAGTTTCCTTCTTCCACCTTTTCCTGGGGTCTAAGATCCAACTCAGGTCCTCCGACTCTCATAGCCAGTGCTTTTGCATACGTCTCTCTAGCCTATCAGTTACATTTAATTTTTTTTCCTGGTTGAAAAAATATTTAGGTGCCAGAAATGTAGCAGAAGAGAAAGTGATATTCAACATGTTTGTTTGAAGAGATGTGCAGGTGAGGTTTGACTACAGAGTTAGGGACATAGCACACATTCCGTGATGTCTAGGGTAGCACCCTGAGTTTAAGGCCAAGGAGATAGAATGATGGATTTTCAGAGGCAAAAATCTTCAGATCAAATTCCTGTTATTTTACACACGGGAAAGCCAGAGCCTAAGGAAGTTAGAATAACATGCTCATAATTATAGATCCAACTGATGGAGTAGCAACAAGATCTAGGTTTTCTAGGTCTGAGAAGATGGCTCAGTCAGTGAGTGCTTGCTGCACACGCATAAAAGCCCGTGTTTGGTTCCCTGACACCCACGAAGAGCCAGCTCCAAGAGTGCAACCCATATATACCTGGGCACACACATACACCATATACCCATTTAAAAGATCAATTAAATTAAACAAATAAAGGTCTTTTGTTAGATTCAATTACCTACAGTAAACTTGTTGATGACTCCTTTGATATTTCCAAAAAATAAAACATGCTGTTATATGTGAATGAGTGGTAGGCTCATCACTGCAGTTAAGTAAGCCCAAGATCTGTTATGTCAATCAAGGCCTAATTACATGTTTATTTATTCAAGCATCTGAGGCTGCTCATTTGTTCATTCCCCAGGCACCCAGACCCAAAATAAGCACACAGAAACTATATTAATTGCAACACTGCTTGGCCTATTAGCTTAGGTTTCTCATTAACTAACTCTTATATTGGAAATTAACTCATTTCTATTATTCTATGTATTGCCACGAGGCTCACAGTTTACTAGGCAGATTCAAGCATCTGTCTCTTTCGGCGGCTACATGGCATCTCTCTGAATTTACCTTCTTTCTCCCAGCATTCAGTTTAGTGTTCCTGCCTAGCTCTATTCTGTCCTGTCCTGGGTCCAACCAGCTTTTTGATGCATTAACCAA